TAATCCTAACAGCAATTAAGGGCCTATTGGATTAGATCTACAATAGACTAACATTACATAGTTAATGGCAAACATAGAAATTTGAATAACCAATATGCATATTGCTTTGTCTTTTTAGTTATAACTGGAAGTACTTCATCAAAAGTTTTTCTTATCTGGGCCAGAAATGACAAAAAGGTTCAATGTATAGGTATTGCATGGCCAAGAAATTTAATAATGCTTGAAAAGTAATGGCAATAGGTTTGGCTGGTCAATTTTTCGGAAAAACTATGACAGTGACAGACACTTATGAGAAATTCTGTGAACTCGAGGCAATTGTGCTATCTGCTATGCATTGCTTTCATCTGCCAATGGAATGGAACTAAGAAGTTTGTGCTTTTGTGACAAGCTAAATATCTATACAATAAATCAATTTTAATTACTTTATTTTAAATATTATTTTAATATAAACTCAAAATTCTACTAACGATTACCCATAACATTTTTTTTTCAAAATTAATTATATTTAATAAAAAAATCTCATTCTAAATGAATTAATTTGTAAACAAGCACACCGTTATACTAAAATTACAATTACATGTAAGCTCATCAAAATGGATTGGACCCACTAGCCGGGGCCCGCACTGAATCACCGAAAAGGTCGATTGAGCTGCAATTTTGAAGGCCGATCCAAGATAGTAGGGTGTGTTTGTATACAAATGTATCAGCTCAAAATGAGTTTTTTGGTTAACTAGAAAAGTAGTATAATTAGTTGTTAGTGAATTAATTTTATATTAAAATAATATTTAAAATAAAATAATTAAAGTTGATTTGATGTAAAAGTATGAGAGAGATGATGTGAAATGATAGTTAGTTAAAATTATAAAAGTGGATGAATAGTAAATTGAGTTGAAGTAATGTGCATGAATGATTAATTAAATTATTTAATTAGATGATATTGGATATAATATAACTAAAGAATAGATCGGTCTACCACATCGGTCGGGCAAGCTCGAAGTAGTGAAAACCGCATTGGTCGACGGATGATCGACCAAAATGGAAGAGATCGAGCAAAATAGCAGAACTGGTCGAGGATCGACCTAGCGATGGGGGGCTCGATCAGATCGAGCACCCAACAGGTGAAGAGCAGTCGAGAGCGTGGCTTGAACGCGAGCGTGGATGGCGTTAGAAGATCCTAACGGCAAGCGCTGAAGAATAATCTCCCTCCACTCAGAGGGACACGTGGCGAGAGTACATTGGTGCAGAGCAATAGTGGCGATAACCACCTCCGACATCTCTGACACACGCACACTGTGTGTGTACGGACGGGCAGCGCGGGTAGGACAGCTCACCAAAATCCGGGCAGCTCCTAGGGCAGGTATCTCACTCCTATATATATAGGAGTGAGTCTTTTCTTGTGGGACTTACGATTTATCTATTCTTTACTTTGGAAAATTGAACAAACATATACTGACTTAAGCATCGGAAGCTCTTCACCGGAAAACCCCTCCGGTGTGAGAGTTTTGTGCAGGTGCGCGGCGTTCGACCGGCGAGGAAGAGGAAGGCAAACCGATTTCAAGCCGGTCGGAGTGTTTTGCGTTACCATTTGGCGCCGTCTGTGGGACTTTCGTTCGAAAAGTGGTGTGCTGAGATTTCTGAAGCTCGGTGGCTATGGCGGACGAAATACCTAGGAGAGATTTGCAAGCATCGTTCGACGACGCGTGGACGATGACGAGGCCGTTTGGAGAAGGCCCTCCCCTCGGCTTCTCTGGACCCCCGCGTACACCGATGACTCCGACGCCCGTTCCCCAAGGTGTAGGAGCCACGCCAGTGCAACCAGACGCTGACGTGGGCTCAAGCCGGGCCCAGGAGGCCTGTACAGCTCAAGGAGCGGCGATCCCAACGCCGTTGCAACCAGATCTGGCCGTGATGCCGCAGCAATGAGCGGTGGTGCAGGGAGCAGTACCGCCGCCGATGGAGGAGCCGCGCCCCAGCCAGCAGGTAGTGATGATCAGACAGAAGATGCAGCAGATGGTGGCGAACGCGGCAGCACAAGCAGTTCAGCAAGTCACCCAAAGCCTTTCGCGAGTGGCTGCTGGACCAACGATGGTGGATGAGGACGTGTCTAGCTATGGAGGAGATGGAGCTCTACGAGATCGGGAGGTGGAAAGACTCGCGGAGCAGGTGAGGCAGATGCAAGCTAATATGGATGGCCGACCTGAGAGGCGTGCTCGAGGACACCCGTTCTCGAGGGACATATTGGCTGCACCATTACCGGCGAATTTCAGAGACATGAGTTAGGTGTTCGATGGGACTACCAACCCGTCGAGGCACGTAAGGGCGTTTGAGAATTTGGCTGTGCTACATGGTTATTCTGATTCTGTTAGCTGCAGGGCATTCTTATCGACCTTAAGAGGAGGCGCGCTCGATTGGTTCCAGCAGCTCCCTCATGGATCGATCAAGGACTTTGATGATTTCGCGGAAAAGCTGATGACCCAATACGCGAGTGCTGTGGCGCAGGAGAAAACGTATTTGACGCGGATGGCCATGAGGCAGGGGGAAAAAAAATCGTTGCGCAAGTATGTTGCACGATATAATCAAACTTGTTTGGAGATCCCCACGGCCGCGGACGAGGTAAAGGTTGGAGGGTTGATAAGAAGTTTGCGAGCAGGGCCCTGTCGAACATCTTTAGCCAAAACCCTTGCTCGTACGTATGACGAAGTGCTGAAGAGGTGCAAGAAGTATATTAACCTGGAGGAGACGGAGGCGGAGTTTGCTAAGTTAGAGGAATTAGCTAAGCCCGAGCCGAAGAAAGGAAGGGCGAACTCGCCCCGAAGGGTGTCACCAGGGAGGAGATCGCCCAGGAGAGAGGGGCGGGGCAGGATTGATCGTGGGTGAGAAGACCGGTGGAAGGATCGACCAGTGTTTGGAGGGAAGCGGTTCCATAACTTTACGCCGCTGAATGCAAAGATGGGAGAAGTGCTGGTGGCTATCGAGAAGAAGATCGAGGACAAGGATGTGACATGGCCTAGGTTGAGGCGTGAGGGGCCGACACAGCCCAGTTCAAAGAAGTACTGCCGTTTTCATAAAGACTATGGGCATACAATGGAGAAGTGCAGGCACCTCAAAGATGAGATCGAGCGCCTTATTAGGGCAGGGCATCTCAAGGAGTTCGTGTATGAGGACAAAGCAAAGGGGAAGGACAAAGGAAGGTGTCGAGAGGATTCGGTGGAGCGGAGTGATCGAGATGATGATGAGGAAGATGAACCTCGAGGAGGGAGAGGTGATCGAGGAGGCAAAAGAAGGCGAGGGAGTAGAGATCGAGGAGGACAGGAGGATCATGGCCCTATGAAGAGAGGGACGATCTATATGATTTCGGGGGGTCCAACCGATGGGGACTCGAACAATGCAAGGAAGGGGGATGTTCGAGCAATGAAGAGAAAGAGAGAGAAAGTGGGGATTACTGCCCGAATGCCGAAAATAAGTTTTCGGGCAGAAGATGCTGAGGGAGTGGTGTTGCCTCACAATGATGCGTTGGTGATCACGGCGAAAGTGGCAAGTTTTGATGTGAAGAGGGTGTTCATCGATACTGGGAGTTCGGTGGATATAATGTTTTATGATTGTTTTGTGCAGATAAACAAGGAGCTTAACCTTGAGCTGAAGCCGGTGACCACAACCTTGTACGGATTTAATGGAGGCGAGGTGATGCCAATGGGAGAGGTGAGCCTATCTGTTGTCTTGGAACAAGGAGTGACAAGGAAGGTGAGAATGGTGAGGTTTGTGGTCGTTGGAGCAGAGTCATCGTATAACATCATCATGGGAAGGACCAGTTTGAATGCATTCCAGGCGGTCGTGTCGACGTACCATGTGACGATCAAATATCCTGTGGGTGAAAACGTTGGTGAGGTCGCAGGAGATCAGCTTACCTCGAGGAGTTGTTATCAAACCACGGTGAGCAACAATAAACAGCTCTCGAGGAAGCAGGTGAAGCTCGAAGAGGGAATGTTGAATCGACCTGGGGGTTCGAGCCGAGAGAGAAAAAGGAGAAAGCGGATAAAGGGAAGGAGAAAGTGGAGATGCAGCCAGGAAGGGAGATCGAGGAGGTCCAGATGGTGGAAGGATGCGAGGAGAGGAAGTTTCAGATGGGAGAGGAGCTCGAGGAGCCTCTAAGGTCGAGATTGATCGGGTTGATCAGAGAGTTCGCGGATGTTTTTGCGTATCCGGCTGAGGAGTTAACGGGGATAAAGGCGGAGGTGATCGAACATCATTTGAATATTGATCTGACGGTGAGGCCGGTGAAACAGAAGAGGAGACATCATGGTGCAGAAATGGACAAGGTGATCGAGCAGGAGGTTGGGAAGTTATTGAAGGCGGGTCATGTTAAGGAGATCCAGTTCCCCGAATGGTTGTCGAACACGGTGATGGTGTCTAAGTCCGGGGGAAAGTGGAGGATGTGCATTGATTTTCGTGACTTAAACAAGGCGTGCCCGAAAGATTTATATCCATTGCCCAGGATCGACCAGCTGTTCGATTCCACCAAGGGGTGTGAATTGCTCAGTCTTATGG